GAACTCCTTGCCAGAGAATGTGGTGAAGACTAGGACTTCAACAGGGTTCAAAAAAAGAGCTAGATAGATTCATGGAGGTTAGGTCCATTGATGGCCATTAGCCAGGATGTGCAGGAATGGTGTCCCTAGCCTCTGTTTGTCTGTAAAAGGGCGACAGGAAAGGGATTACCTGATGATTACCTGTTGTGTTCCCTCCCTCTGGGGCATCAGGTATTAGCTACTGTCGGAAGACAGGATACTGGGCTAGCTGGACCTGTGGTCTGACCCTATATGGCCATTCTTATGTTCTTATGTTCTTATTGTCTAGACTAGGTGACAAATGGGAGGAACTCATCCATTTGTACACTGTACATTCAAGCATGGTTGGATCCAGATATTGCAACAAACACAACAAAGCACACAAACTTGATTTTAATTAATCTCTCAATTTCAGATAATGTTGTTTCCATTTATTTTTAGTTTGCAATAATGTACTATCCGCATTAATGTAAGTGCCAGTGCACAGTGAAAACAATTGCATATTTAAAAAATTTGTTCAATTACTTACCACTTCCTCCATTCAAGTCTTTCAACACCCATACAACTTCAGTCACTATCTACATTTCACAAATTGTGATAGCCCCATTCTCTGCAACACACAAACCTCCAAAAGTCAACTGTCAACAGTGTTGTTAGGGTTTGAAACCAATGGAGACCACTCTAAAAATGTGCCTTCATTAAGCCTTGGTTTTCCCTTTTTTCTACCATCTCCTCCTCTTCCCACTGTCCATACTGCCACTCACTTTGCCAACTCTTTGACTCAACCATGGGAATCACAAGCCTATATCACCATCTGGGAGATGAACTCCTCATCTTCATTGTGTACTAGACCAACAGCTTGAAAAAGCAAGCCTAGGGCAGGTATCTTGCTTGGTAGTGCAAAGAAGTGCTTCTTCGGCATTGAATTGGCCCCATGTTATGTTTTCTAAGCAGTAGATGCACTATAAAGAAAGATTTTGATATTTGTTATCTGATCTCACTGTCTGGATGGTGGCTGGGGGCGATGGTATTTCTGGGACTTAGTACTTGGTTGGGTAAACATGAATCTATGGATTCAGAAACTGAACAACGTTGCTCTCCTATATAGGGGACTTAGTACTTGAAAGTACTAAAGATCATACAATTGAGTACACCATAGAGCTGCACATTATTGAAGCACCTAACACATTCTATGGTGCTCCGGGAAGTAACTTGAATAGAACTCCAGCAATGGTAGCTCAATGGATTTACACCTTCTGTGATTTCTGAATGGGAAATGAGGGAAAGAAACATCATTGAGGCAAAGAACGCCACACGGCAGACTCTCTTATGGCTTAATGCCCAAACCTTTACTTACACCATGCAGAAGGCGTTAGTCTAGTTACATGCAAGGGTGAGTCAGGACTGTTAAATGGGATCTTTAACAGCAACAGCACTGCCTACCTACCATGGCTTCAGATTCCCTTCACACCAGCTGGGTTTCTCAAACTTCCCACATGGTTTGGGTGCTGCAGTAACTTGGCCCTCCCACTAAGCTACAAAAGAAAAAGTTAACCCCTTCTAGGATATCAAACTCCAAACCAGCACAAAATCTAAGAAGGTCTTGCATCCCACTCTCAAGTCCTTCCTGAGAGTCTATCACCTCTTTGAAAAGGGTCTGCTGCCCTTGCTGGGCTCTACTCAGTCTTCTCACACTTTTATAGAACCCAGACTCTAAAGGCAACTGTTCCCAGAGTCCTTCCTCAGTCTGGCTCTCCACAGACCCTTTGGTATATATGGTCATGCCAATTTTCTTCCACAATTTGATCTGAGGAAGTGAGTCTGGACCACGAAAGCTCATCACCTAATAAACCATCTTGTTAGTCTTTAAAGTGCTGCATAGTCCTGTCTTTTGTTTCAGCAAGACCAGACTAACACAGGTACATCTCTATTATTATTCTACATCCATTACATGTACTGGACGCATACTGGAGACTGAATTTCTTATGCTGTAGGCATTGGATTTTAGTAGATGAAGGTTCCATGAGAGGAATCAGAAAGGATACTGGGGGGCTACTTTGGACCCTCATTCTGTTTCTGAATCTCCATTGCCCTCTTAAACTTCAGTTTCTGACTTCGTCTTCTGCAGCAGATAAATGGGTATGTCAATGAACAAATTTTTAACCACAGTCCATTACATTTATCAGAGAGCAAAGATACACAGCAATGAAGTAAAAGAGTGTTCTCTGTTCTCAGTGCATGTTTTCTTGAAAAGTAGAGAAAGCAAACTCTTCCATAGGCAGCACTTTCTGTGCTTATCTTTTACTGTCGTAGAAAAGCAGATATCCCCATTACTATATACAGTACAAAATTCTTATACTTTAGGGCAGTTACCTTCATTTTACTGTGGGGCAACATATTGTGAATGACAGAATCATTGCTGAAGTTGGAACAACAATGATTATACTACAATTTCTATGGAGGATCTGAAAACACTGTACAGGCATTCATGAATTAGGCTTCATAGTACCTTGTGGATAACTATAGCATAATACTTGCATTTTGCAGAGATCAAATGCCTTGGCCAGACTCACCTAGTAAGGCTGTGACAAAGCAGCAAATAGAGAGCTAATCTTCTGTGCTTTTTATCTACAAAGCCTTCCCAACATACAAGAGAATACAATAGCAAAGCAACGTAAAATACAGGAGCATCCAGAGATAGAAAAGGCCTCCAGAGATCCAGCTACCTATCAGTGCAGTACACATTTCCAAAGGGTCATTTGGCATTTTGTTTTACAGTAAGACATTTCCTTTAAAAAAAGGGCTATAAACATTTCACAGTAATGATCTGAAACACTGTGGCAACACTTGAATTAATAAGGTTCTGAATCACCACTACCCCTTCCCATTCTTTATTAGTATTCTGTACATCTTCTACTTAGACTGTAAGCTCATCTTCTTGTTTTCCAGAAAGCACCTAGCACATTTATTACTGCTGAGAATGGGAATACATTCTTCTAAAGTATGAGGCAAAAAAACCACAATAAACAAAACAACAATATGAGAGAAAGTTTCAAGATAAACATTTTGAAAACACAAAGTGCTGGGGAGAAATAGCTGGACATGCTGAGTTTCTATACTCTTATAGGTGCTGGAACTATGGGTGCAGGGAGTCATGCAGCACCCCCTCACTTGAAATGGTTTCTAGCATATACTGAGTTTACAGTTTGGTTCAGTGGCTCTCACCACCCCCACTATAAAAATTGTCTCAACGTCCCTGTATACTTTAAAATTTAGATATTAAAAGTGACCAGGGAACAACACAAATAGACATTTAGTTATTGTAGGAGCAGAGTTAAAAGGGTGTTTTACTCATCTATTGCACAGTATTATGCTGTGAAACATCTCGTGTCTGGCAATACCAAAAGAAGGACAGGAGACCCCTGAAGTGGTTTTAATCAGGTCACAATTGTATTATTAGATATCTGGGCACACCCGGCAGGTAAAGTGCACAGTGCAGGTAACTCCAAGTTCACGCAATAACTACCCGGCAAGCTTCCACCCCCTGCTTTTTCCATCCAGATCTCCCAGCCCAACCCATTGCTGGGAACATGACCCCTGAAACAAGTGTAGGGGGGCTATAAAAAAGAGGAACTGGCTTTTTATACCATACCAGTTATAGAAACCCTGAATCACCTCATTCCATTCCTTTAACTAACGCCTCCTTTGTAAGTCCTTTACCAAGCCATTTATCAGGTCGCCATATCCCTTCCTCGCACTGCACATCCACCCCCAATTACATAATGAGTTGTGATGTCATAGACTAAATCCCTTCCCTACTCACCATAACAAAGCCCTCCCAGAACCCATTGTGGGGAAGGTAGGAAACCCCCCTCCACACACACATTCCACTTACGACAATCTGATGAGGAGGGAAACATTATTTTCCATCCCCTGCCCTAAGAAAGGAGTGGTTAGTGTGATGCCTATAACTGGTCCTTACAAAACCTAGCATTTTGTCATCTCAAGGGGAAGGAGAGTGGTGCTGCTTCACGCGGTCCAAGGAAAAAGAGGCTTCTCTCAATCTGTTTGCCCCTTTTCAACTCCCCAGTCCTTCTGGTTTCTGGGGATGAGTCAGCATCACTATACTGACTCCCTCCTCCCCTGCCTTCACAGGGACAATCAAATCCCATACTTTATGGTATAAACTTAACATCTGCAGGAACCAGCAAGGAACCCCTCTTCTCCCTCTTTTACAGTATAGTTGTCTGTTATGCTTTTGCCTTCCTTTGAAAAGCCAAGCATTGGTCACTGTCAACTTTAAAATATGGCACAAATCTATGGTCTGGTCTGCTTTGCTAAGAGTACTATGTTCTTCTGCTAAATATTTTGAAAAACGTAAAAAAAGGCAAAGCATTACATGACACAGGGCCAGATAAAAATAAAGAACAATATAATTTTCCTCCAGCTGCCTGAGGCAAGTTACAATTGTATACTGGGAAATACATCTGGTTATTTTGGAAATCAAAGGGCATTCACAAATGCTAGTGACATGGAGGGGGGAAAAGGGTAGGTATTTTTGATAAAAGACTACGAGTGAGTTCATTCAACCCCTCCACATGTGTTGAGAGTTTAATTTCTTTTATTATGGTTAGAAATTTGGCACTCTATCTGGAGTTAACGTCATTGTTTGGCCAGCCAAGGGCAACATCAAAGATAAAAGGTTTATTGGCCAACGCATCCAAAGGAACCTGAGCTTCAATACCAAGGTCAGAAATGCTTTGTTAATTCTGAGCAAAAAAATAAATCTGCTGCATGTCTGTTTTGACTTGTGGTTTAGCTTGTCTTGTCTAAGCAGCCAGAGTCATTATAAAACAAAGCTTCTCCTGGTGCAAATTTGCTCAATTACAGAACCTGCAAAGGGGTTGCAAGGTACCGATTAAAATCGTCTTAGCACTCTCAAACTTTCTGCCTCTTTCGCAAAGTAAAATCTCTTAGAAAAGATGATACTGGAAACCCTGGATCTGATGCATGACAAAATCACCCGTGTGGTGCCAGAAGTGATGCCAGCTGCCACCGTACCCATACTCCTCCTCATGTGCTTTCTTTTCCTAATATGGAATTATGAAGAAACATCGTCAATACCAGGTAAACTGATTTTAGACATGGTATCCCCCCAAAATCTACAAGTTTCTTTTGTTGGTCACATTATGGGAAAATGGGAGTGATTGGTAATAAGTACTTAACAAGAAAACACAGAAGGAATATTTGGTATAAAATATAGGAGGGGTTAAATGATAGGAAGAACAAAAATCGGAAGTGCCCTATTTGCCCCCAAACTTTGTGCATTAAAGTTTGTTTGGGCAGCTAAAAGTATCACTTTATTTACTTTCTTCAGAACATCTCTCTCCTTACTGTGCACATGATAGAATGATAGTCTGTAATTTTAATTATGGAATCTAGATATTTATCATCTGGATGATTTTCATGGATGTTTTAGACCTCCAAATTTTGTTACTATTGTAAACAGCTTTGGAAGATGCATTCTGCTTAAAATGAGGGGATGGGGTCATTTTGGACCTTTTCCCATGTATCCAACACTAAAAAAACTACCCCCATGGGCCATCATCAAATGGTGTCCCATTCAGATGACCCCTTTTGCTAGGTTTGTTCCATTTATTCCTCATTAGGTACCGGATAATTACATCTCCATAAACTAGAACATAGTGCACATCTCATGCTGATGTAAATAAGGAATAGCTATTTAGATTAATGGGGTTACACCTGAGTATAACTAATTGAGAGGAGAGTCAGGCAAGCTGCTATTGAATAACTCTTATTGGTGGAGATTTCAGAGAATACTGAAAAGGCATTTGCAGAAGGTTATGCTGTCCACCCTGAAAGTTTTTTGAGGTTACCCAGGATAGATAACAGCATTAAACTGCCATAAATTTACAATTAAATAACCCTGGTTTATGATTCTCTTCATAAAGGCTAGTGTCTTGAACTATTTGTACATCTTGTGAACACAATGTGTAAAACTTTTCTGTAAGTACTTTACTTGCTTTCTTTCATGTCTCTGAACAAATCCTAAGACATTACAGCAGGCAAGCCACAGAGACCACCTAGAACAGAGGGGTTTCCTTTAGAGCAGGGTCCTTTAGCCATTCTAAGACTCTTCCCCTCGCCCACAAGGGAACAAATGTTTGCTCTTAGTTACACTAGTGCATCTCTGGAATCAATCTACCTAAGTCAGCTGAGTTCTTCTAGATTTATACTGGTGGTATTCATTTCAGAATCTTCACCATTAACTAAATTGAGATGATTCCATTCTGAGTTCATTAGAATGATACTTTCCATACGCTCATTGATTAGAATGCTCTTATACAAACCCATCTTTTAAAACTGCACTTTCCTCCTTTGTAATTTTTATATTAAAAGAAAGCTACAAAGTTGATTTTTGTATGTGATGTTACAGTCTAATAAAGGCCCTTGTCACTAAAACAATTTGCTAAATTTGCAAGTGGATAAAGAATAGTATGATGTCATTATTCTTTAAACTATTTCTTACTCCTTCAACCTTGATCCTTAGCCGGTATAAGTCTAAGGGAAACTACCAGTCATTTACTTAAAGTATCAGAAAAAGGTTCAGAGTCTAGTTTATTACATGCACATAGAATGTACATCAAGCTCAAGCTTGAGTTGCTGTGGATATAGAGCTATCAACTCTGCAGATACAGGTGTTCCTAAGTTTGCATAAGCCAATTTTATGTGAAATCAAGGGTCCAGTGCACTCTGTGACTTGACTATTAAAGATATTTGCAAGAGAGTGCTACTGGTATTTTCAAATCAACTGCTAAGATTCATATTTTTATTTAACTTTTTCCTCAGGTCCCAGTTTCTGTATGGGAATTGGTCCTCTCATTTCACATGGGAGGTTCCTTTGGATGGGAATGGGCAATGCCTGCAACTACTACAATAAGCTGTATGGAGAATTTGTGCGAGTCTGGATCAGCGGAGAGGAAACATTCATTATTAGCAAGTAAATCTTTGTTCTTTCTCTATAAAGAGTATGTTGCAATTTTTTGCCAGGCACTTTGCTATATTAGAATTATGTCATAGTTTTCAAAATTATTTCTCACTAACTGAAATCTTATGCCTTCTGCTACTTACTGACCCCACTTTTTGGGTGCACTTCTGAATATCAATACTCACATACTAGAGGCTTGACCTGGCACCTTTGCTGGGAGTTTTGCCATTTATTTCAGTGAACCAAGGATCAAACGCTGAGGCCCAATCGGCAAGCACTTATTCTCACTTATACTGCATTTACTCCAATATGAATACTGAGTATAAAGGCACTACAAGTTGCAGTTTTATACAGTGGAATCCTCTGATCTAGCAACATCCTTGGTCCAGCAGGACCATGGATGTTTCAGGACCAGAGAGTCTTCGTGCAGGGGAGGAAGAAACACATAGCCCAGCTGGGCTGCAGGAAGGACAAAGCTGGGAGGCCCAGTGTGCAACTCAGCTGGGCTGCGGTGGGGGGCATGAGCCAGGCAGCCCTGTGGGGGGAAGGGCAGGCAGCAACAGGGGGCAAAAATGACCTCCCCAGATCAGAAAAATCCCTCATCTGTGACCAGTCAGGTCCTGAGGGTGCCAGACCACTGATGTTCAACCTGTATTTAAGAACATTAACTGATTGATAGCTTGCAGGTTCGAGCCAAAATTTAGTTTCATATAATCTCATGGAGATCTTTCTCAAAATGGGACTGAAAGCTCAAGATCACGGCCCCAATTCAGCTAGGTACTTAAGCACATGCACAGTTTCAGGAATATGAGTTATCCTGTTGGAATCAGTGGGACTACTCATGTGCTTAAATTACACATGCCTAAACACATTGCTGAATTGGAGCATATAGTTTTATTAGCTGCAACAGAGGGAGGCTTTTTGCTGTTTTGTTTATTGGGGTGTGATTTTTTTATTGGACATCCTGGGCACTTGTGATAAGGAGGATTTTTTTCCATAAATGAAACTCATAAAGACCACACATAAAGAACAACGGAAAGCAACTGCTGAATTAGCCCTTCTAACTACTCTGAATTCAGATATGTCTCCCAGCTTGTTGAAAGACACTATAATCCAGGGAAATGGACTCCAGTTCTGGTGCTACCACTGATTTTGTACAGATGTGGGCAAGTCACCTTTCTGTCTTGGTTTCTGCCTAACTAGTAATGACAATGGGAACACTACCTGATCAGAAATTACTGAATGCCTACACTGTGCTTAAAGCATGTCTGATGCATAATACTCTTACTGCGCTCTTATACTGTTTGATTCAGGTCTATAAATAATAATCAGATTCATAAATCAATGAATCAGATGAATCAGAGTGTGAGGCCATTACCTTAGCTTTGGTCAGGATTGCATCTCACCTAAAAACTTAGACAGCACATGGAAAACTATTATTTAAAAATCCTTTGCAATGTCAATAGAGCATTCACAGTGGTCCATAGGGCCTGTCACAGTTAAACAGCAAGGTCTGAGCTCTATAAACATGCAAGGACAGCCCTGTTCTCATTTAAGTCAATTGGACTTTTGCCATCAACTCCACTTCGATTAAGAGCAGATGCACAGAGGGACATGCGGAGTCTGCTCTGCAGTATAATGTACATTGTCTTCTCCAGGCCCTGTCGGTGTAACAAAATATGACTATTTTATAGCCTCCATCAGCAAAATCTAGCCCCATTTTAATAGCTACCTTTATTCTATCTCTCTGTGCATACAGGGGCAAATCTTGAATTCTTCACTTAAAGCCACTCTGTGATTGGTCCTTGGGTGGGTGTACAGATAGGATAAGAGCATAAGGAGTCTCTTCTTGTCATTGCACATCTGCGGTGGGCCTGTCATCACTTCACTTCCTGTGAGAAGTACAAAGACTGTTCCTTCCCTGCACAATCCACCCCAATGGTAGCCCAGTGCATACAGGGGCAAATCTTGAATTCTTCACTTAAAGCCACTCTGTGATTGGTCCTTGGGTGGGTGTACAGATAGGATAAGAGCATAAGGAGTCTCTTCTTGTCATTGCACATCTGCGGTGGGCCTGTCATCACTTCACTTCCTGTGAGAAGTACAAAGACTGTTCCTTCCCTGCACAATCCACCCCAATGGTAGCCCAG